TCCCTTCCAGACCGAGTTCTGCAATCCTGCCTTCGAGCCTGAGTCTGGGCCATCCTGCCCTCCCCCAGCTTTCCCAGAGGATGCCAGCTATAGTGTCCCAGCTCCCTGGCACGGTAACCATCCCAGGGGGTGACCTGGGGGAGGACAGAGAGGCCCAGGAGCCAAGGGCAGCATGAGAAATGCCCAACAGAAGGGGCTCTCAAAACCCCACCTGCCGGCTCGCAGGTCGGCGTCCTCGAGGGCTGCGGCCAGACTGCCGTTTCTCCTGGCTCTGTGTCCTCCTGCTCGCCAGCCTGCTGCTCCTGCTGCTCGGGCTGCTGGTGGCCATCATCCTAGCCCGTAAGTACCTGGGGACAACTTGAAAGGAGGGCTTTGGAATGAAATTCCATCAGCCGCTCTCCCAGCCTCCCAGGATCCAGCTCCTCTGAACACCACCCTCCATCTTCCCGCCTCCAGAGCTGCAGGCTGCACCCCCACCTGGGGCCTCCCATAGCCCACTGCCTGCCGGAGGCCTTACCACCACCACCACCACCCCCACCATCACCACCTCTCAGGCAGCTGGGACCCCTAAAGGGCAGCAGGACTCAGGTGTGAGCCCCTCCCCACAGGCCAGTGAGTACTCAGGGCAGGTCTTCCCGGAGAAGGGCCCAAGATGATGGGGTGGGGGCGAGGGGAGGGTGAGGAAGAGGTACCTTGGAGAATAAAGGACCTCACTCGTTTTGACCTCTGAACTCTGACCTCCATCTCCGCAGCCTGTGGAGGCCTCCTCTCTGGTCCAAGGGGCTTCTTCAGCAGTCCCAACTACCCAGACCCTTACCCCCCCAACACCCACTGCATGTGGCGCATCCAGGTGGCCACAGACCATGCAATACAGCTCAAAATCGAAGCCCTCAGCATAGAGAGTGTGGCCTCTTGCCTTTTTGATCGCTTGGAAATCTCCCCTGAGCCTGAAGGCTCCCTCCTCAGGTAGGTCCCTCTGTCCCCAGGACATCCCACCGTGTCCTGAACCACTATCTAAAGAGCAGAATCAGGGAGTGGCAGGGGGAAGGGCTAACCGAGGAAGAAACTGAGCGACTAGACCTCTGGGCCCAGCTCTGCCACCACCTTGCTGTGTGCCGTGAGGAGGATCACTTCCCCTCTCTGACCTGTTTCCTAGTCTGTAACATGGATCTCCTTTCTATCTTCCTATGAGTAAATGCTACAAGGATAAATGTGCAGATGCTAAGAAGGTCAGAGCTCCCTGGGACATCAGAGGAGACTTTTTGACCACATGGTCACCAGTTTGGGGGTTAAGAAAATAGGACTGCAAGGCCCAGGCAAGCTCCTCTCTGGCTGGCCCTGCTCCTGGAGCCTCCATCACCCCCAACCCGGCTTCTTGCAGGATTTGTGGGAGGGTGCCTCCCCCCACGCTCAACACCAATGCCAGCCACCTCCTGGTGGCCTTCATCTCTGACAGCAGTGTGGAAGGATTTGGTTTCCATGCCTGGTACCAGGCTGTGGCCCCTGGGCATGGTGAGTGTGTTCCCACCATGTCCCCAGCTGCCTGTTGAGTGTCCACTTTCTTCCCCTCCACCCACTCCCAGCCCTGCCAAAGGGGTGGAGACTCGGGGCCTCCCTGACTCCTGGTGCCCACACCCAGGGAGCTGTGCCCATGATGAGTTCCGCTGTGACCAGCTCATCTGTCTGCTACCTGACTCAGTGTGTGATGGCTTTGCCAACTGCGCTGACGGCAGCGATGAGACCAACTGCAGTGCCAAGTTCTCGGGTACGGGCCAGGCATGGGGGGTCCTCTCTTCAGGCATCTGATCTGGGTTCAAATTGGGCCCCCCAGCTCTGGTCCAGCCTCAAACCAGGGCCTCTGCCAGCATTTCCTCCTTTGTCATTCTTTGGCCCAGAACTTGCTTCCCATGGGCATGGCCAAAACTCTTGCTCTGCAGTCACTGCCCACAATCACTATTGGATGGAAGCACGGATCCTAGCAAACTCATGAGCCCTTTCATCTCTCTACAGGGTGTGGGGGGAATCTGACTGGGCTCCAGGGCACTTTCTCTACTCCCAACTACCTGCAGCAGTACCCTCACCAACAGGTAAGCACGGTGCTCCATGCAGAGGGGGAGGGGCACACGTGGAAGCACCTGAGCACCCAAGTCAGTGTAATGGGAATGGCATGATAGACACTACCTTCTACTTGGGAAGGTCACAGATCAAGCAGACGGGGGATGGGGGATATTAGTAAGTGCCTGATGTGTACCCAGATGTGCCCACAATGGGTCAACTCACCTCTGAAACCAGGCCCTTAAGAGCCACCAATGATGAAAGCGCGACCCCACCCCCCAGCCAGCAGTGGGGGAAGAAGACCCTTCTGGAGCTCAGCCTGGGTGCCCAGGATGAGACAGAAGGGGTCATGAATTGCCCACCTGTGCCCTCCCCCAGCTCTGCACCTGGCATATCTCGGTGCCGGCTGGACACAGCATAGAACTGCAGTTCCACAACTTCAGCCTGGAGGCTCAGGATGAGTGCAAGTTTGACTACGTGGAGGTGTATGAGACCAGCAGCTCAGGGGCCTTCAGCCTCCTGGGCAGGTACAGGAGCCAGGGAAGAGCCACGGATAACTCCATCCTCACAGTCTGCCAGCCCCGCCTTCCGTGTCGGCCCAGCACATTCCCCAGCTTCACTTTCTTCTGCTACTCTAGGCCGGGGGTCTCTTCACCATTACCCTAAAGACAGCTCTCACCTCAAAACCTTCACCCCACACTCTCCCTGTCCCCAGGAGGTCCTTCCCCAAACCTCTCCCTGCCCCAGTTTCTCCCCACCGGCAGGGGCCACCTCCACCTCCCTTACAAACCCTCATTGATTTTTCTTGTTCTTCTTTTTTTGAGGCAGAATCTCACTTTGTCACCCAGGCAGGAGTGCAGTAACACTATCATGGCTCACTGCTGCCTTGACCTCCCAGGTTCAAGCGCTCCTTCCACCTCAGCCTCCCAAGTAGCTGGGACCACAGGCACATGCCACCACGCCCAGATAATTTATTTTTTTAATTTTTTTTTGTAAAGACAAGGTCTTACTATATCGCCCAGGCTGGTTTCAAACTCCTGGGCTCAAGTGATCCTCCCGACTTGGCTTCCCAAAATGCTGGGATGACAGGTGTGAGCCACAACGCCAGGCTGCCCCGCTGATTTTTCCCCATCTGGAAGTGGCTCAAGTTCAAGCAGTTTGTTTAATGTTTTGTCTGCTGAATATGTGTGTCTTCCTCACCAGACCCTAACCCTGTGTCTCCCATCAACTTTGGCATCATCCAGGGCTCCAGCTCAGAGCCAGGCCTGTGGGAGGCTGCAGTGCCCCCTCAGTCAGCCAGGGCTGGTGCCCAGAACTGCTATCTGCTTTGGGCAGGTTCTGTGGAGCAGAGCCACCCCCCCACCTCGTCTCCTCACACCATGAGCTGGCTGTGCTTTTTAGGACAGATCATGGCATCAGCAGTGGAGGCTTCTCAGCCACCTACCTGGCCTTCAATGCCACGGAGAGTAGGTGCCCCTGGGCAAGTGGGTGTGGGCAGTAGAGGCACCTCCAGGGGGACAGAGAAGGGTTCTGGACCCTGGTCAAGACACTCTGGGGGTACTGGGAGTGTAGGTATGTCCCCGGGCACTGCCATGCCCCTTGTGCCTGCAGACCCCTGTGGGCCCAGTGAGCTCTCCTGCCAGGCAGGAGGGTGTAAGGGTGTGCAGTGGATGTGTGACATGTGGAGAGACTGCACCGATGGCAGCGACGACAACTGCAGCCACCCCTTGTTCCCACCCCCAGGTGAGAAGCCTGCCCCTGGGGACCCTGAATAGGCTGGGTGCTCACTTCACAGAACCCTGCTGCTGTACTGAATAGCGTCCCGTCCCATCCCATCCTCCCTGAGGGGGCGGGGCCAGCTGACTCTGGGACCACTTCGCAGAGTCCTGGAAGACACTCGGCTGGTGGTGGCAATGGCACTGAGTGTCACCCCAAGGGAAATGGGAATCTGGGAATCAGTGGTGGGACTCCAAGAACCAGTCCCTTCTGTCACCCAGAGCCCCTTTCCACAGCCCATGTAAGATGAAGGCATCCTCTTACACGGAGCAGGGGGTTTCTTCCAGATGCCCAAGCGGTCCCTGCAAACGCAGGTGCCCCATGTTCCCTGAGATCAAAGACGTGCCTGCATGATGCCCAGGGCTGGCAACTGATGCTGGAGCAGGCTCTCAGGGATGGCAGGGATCCTCAGTGTGTGTACAGCCTCTCTCCTTGTTATTCTCTTGCTTCCTCACAACCACCCCCATTGGACCCACGTACACACAGGACCAAGTGATTCGGTGACTTGCCACAGGCCACACAGCCAGTGAGCAGTCCCCACAGTGGCCTTCCCCTCCACCCCTGCAGAGCTGGCCTGTGAGCCTGTCCAGGTGGAGATGTGCCTCGGTCTGAGCTACAACACCACGGCCTTCCCTAACATCTGGGTGGGCATGGCCACTCAGGAGGAGGTGGTAGAAGTCCTCAGCGGTTACAAGGTCTTCTGGGTGGAGGGAAGGAGGGCAGGCCTGGGAGGGGAGGGAGCCTGGGAGCAGGTGCCTAAAGGCCGCTGTCCCTCCGCAGAGCCTGACAAGCCTGCCCTGCTACCAGAATTTCCGGAGGCTCCTGTGTGGGCTGCTTGTGCCCCGTTGCACCCCACTAGGCAGTGTTCTGCCCCCTTGCCGCTCTGTCTGCCAGGAAGCAGAGCACCAGTGCCAGTCTGGCCTGGCACTACTGGGCACCCCCTGGCCCTTCAACTGCAACAGACTGCCAGAGGCAGCTGGTCTGGAAGCTTGCTCCCAGCCCTGACCCTGAAGCCAGCCCCTGCCCTCTTTCTGCCCGTCCTCTTTTGCCCGTCAGGACTGGCACACAGGGGAAAAAGGAAGGGGCACCAGCAGGGTCTCTAACTATCTTCTCTGGGGCTCCCAGGGAGGGGGAGGAGAAGTCCTCAGCTGGGGCTCATGGGACCCTCCCTGCACCTTCCTGTCCCCTTACTGGCCCCAGGCTGCTGACTGGCCCCACACTGTGCCACTGGACAATCGAGACCGCTTCCCATCCAGGCCTCTGACCCAGACTTCCCGCCTTCTGCCTCTTCCCCTTTCCTTCTGCTTTTTCAGCTTCTCTATCGCCTGCCTTCTGACCTTTTCCTTGATTCAACAGAAATGTACTGAGCATCTACTCATGTGGCAGGCCCTGTCCTAGGCCTTAGGGATCCAACTGGCTGTCTGCCTCTAGAACTCTCCACCCTCATCTCCCTACGTATTTCTCCCTGAAATGGGGTCTGGTCCTTGGTCTCTGCCACTGCCCCGCCTCTCCTCCGGCCCTGGGAACAGGAGGTGCCCTGTGTGTCCATCTCTCGAAGTTCTGCCTCTCTGTGCCCAGCTCAAGTCTTTCTACCCCTCCTTTCTCCCCCTAAACTTTGGCCGGCCGCCGGGCGACACCACGAGTTATTTCCCAGCTATTTCCCGGTCCGGGAGCTCTTGGCCCCCGAACAACTGGTTTCCTCTTGGAGTCTGGGAGGAGAAGAGCGGAGCCGGCAGGCAGCGAACCAGGACTGGGGTGACGGCAGGGCAGGGGGCGCCTCGCCGGGGAGAGGCGCGGGGGCTGGAGCACCACCGACTGGAGGGTCCGGAGCAGCGAGCGCCCCGAAGGAGGCCATCAGGGAGCCGGGAGGGGGGGTGAGTCTGGCGGAGGAGGGGAAAGGGGCTGGGGAGGGGACTGTGGGAAAGGCTGGCGCGGGCCGGCGGTGGGAGGGAGGGCTGGCCGCTCCTACCCGCTCTCCCCTGCCTGTGCTCTCCGGGTGTTCGGCCCTGCGGGCGCTCAGCCTCAGGGGCACAGCAGTGGGGTGGGGACCGACTGGGCCGCGCCGGGGTGGGGATCGAGGTAGGTCCCAGGATTCTGGGTCCCGACTCCAGTCCTGCCTGGCCCACAGACTGCGAGAGGACCCCGGCGTTCGGGCTCCCGGTGCCAGCGCTATGAGGCCGCTCCTTGTCCTGCTGCTCCTGGGCCTGGCGGCCGGCTCGCCCCCACTGGACGACAACAAGATCCCCAGCCTGTGCCCGGGGCACCCCGGCCTTCCAGGCACGCCGGGCCACCACGGCAGCCAGGGCTTGCCGGGCCGCGATGGCCGCGACGGCCGCGACGGCGCGCCCGGGGCTCCGGGAGAGAAAGGCGAGGGCGGGAGGCCGGGTAAGAAGGCACCGCAGCAGCTGTAGGTGGCGACGTCCGAGCAGGCTCCGCCGCAGCTCCCACTCCCAGTGCCCGGGGCTCGGGGCTCCCGCCAGGGGGCGCCACTCCCTGAGCTTTGCAGCCCAGAGCGGGGGAAGGGCCCAGGCGGCGGGCGCCCCCTTGGCCAGCCCCCTAGATCTGCCCTGCGGGAATGGGTGGGGGAGGTACCCGTGCGGGAGAAGGCGCTGGCCGAAGCTCAGGCAGGGGCGGGGAGGGGTACGGTGACCTTAGAGTCGCCGCCCCGTTGCGGGCTGACCCGGCCGCTACGCTCAACCTGCCGCCCCGCTTACCCCGCAGGGCTGCCGGGACCTCGAGGGGAGCCCGGGCCGCGAGGAGAGGCGGGACCCGCGGGGCCCACCGGGCCTGCAGGGGAGTGCTCGGTGCCTCCGCGATCCGCCTTCAGCGCCAAGCGCTCCGAGAGCCGGCTGCCTCCGCCGTCTGATGCTCCCCTGCCCTTCGACCGCGTGCTGGTGAACGAGCAGGGACATTACGACGCCGTCACCGGCAAGTTCACCTGCCAGGTGCCTGGGGTCTACTACTTCGCCGTCCATGCCACTGTCTACCGGGCCAGCCTGCAGTTTGATCTGGTGAAGAACGGCGAATCCATTGCCTCTTTCTTCCAGTTTTTCGGGGGTTGGCCCAAACCAGCCTCGCTCTCGGGGGGCGCCATGGTGAGGCTGGAGCCCGAGGACCAAGTGTGGGTGCAGGTGGGTGTGGGTGACTACATTGGCATCTATGCCAGCATCAAGACAGACAGCACCTTCTCCGGATTTCTGGTGTACTCTGACTGGCACAGCTCCCCAGTCTTCGCTTAATGCCACTGCAAAGTGGGCTCACGCTCACTCCTAGGAGGAGGGTGTGACGCTGACAACCAGGTCATCCAGGAGGGCTGGCCCCCCTGGAATATTGTGAATGACTAGGGAGGTGGGGTAGGGGCCTCTCCGTCCTGCCGCTGGCAAGGAATGGGGACAGTGGCTGTCTGCAATCAGGTATGGCAGCATGGGGCAGTGACTGGATTTCTGCCCAAGACCAGAGGAGTGTGCTGTGCTGGCAAGTGTGAGTCCTCCAGTTGCTCTGGCCCAGGAGCCCATGGTGGGGTGCTCTCTTCCTGGTCCTCTGCTTCTCTGGATCCTCCTCACCCCCTCCTGCGCATGGGGCCGGCCCTTTACTCAGAGATCACTCAATAAATCTGAGAACACTCCTACTGGCTCCAGCCTTTCTTCTTTGGTGGCGGGGCTTCTGTTTCTGGGATCATGGTATGGAGAGGTGCTCAGGCAGAAGGCAGGGCTCTTGGATGAAATAGAGATATGGGACAGATATACAGGAAGCCGGCCCAGGGGAATGAGAGGCTGCTCCACAGAGCCGCCACCTAGGTTGTGAATAGGAGTGTCTGACAGCGGGATGCCCTCCTGGTGTAGGGCTCCAGCCACCCTTAAGAAAGGGGGTACCTTTTTCTAATTCAAAGATGCCAACTAAACCACATAGGGGCTGCCTGCACCACACATGCCCCTGCCCTGATCCAACAAAAAAGAGCCGAGGACTTTCGTCTATGACTGCCCTGGCTGCTTGCCTGGTCCCCAGATGACTGGAAAGCTATTGCTCTGTAACCCGAGTGAGTGGCCTCCCTGGGCGTCTAGAGGTAAGTAGTTTCTGAGATGACCACAAGGGGGTGCCCTGGCCCCAGAATGCCGCAGGGATACTGGGAAGCTTGAGCTCCTGACTATGGGTGGTGAGGGGGAGGAGGGGTATTGAGGTCGGCCAAAGGAATTCCAGATGCAGATGGAAGAAAAGGGGAGTCCTTTACTCCCAACTCAGGAAGTTTATCTTCTATCATAAAATGTTTATCCCCACATTAAACAGAGACTGGAAGGAGCCGGTCCTCCCCTTGCTCAGCTCCCTGTCCCGGATTGAGGGAAGGAAAGAGCAAGTGCCAAACCCTCCCTAGGCCTCCCAGTTCTGAGGTGGAGATGAGGAGCCCTCCCCCACTGCTCTGGGCATAGCCTGGGTGGGCCGAGCCACTGTGTCTGAGGCTAGCCACAAAGCCCCTCAAGGCTCCCCCACCCGGGGGGCCCACCTCCAACCCAATGACTAACAAACCAGGACTGCCCAGCCCCATCTGCACAGCCTCAACCCAAGGAAGGGGGGCCTCTCCTCAGAGTTCTTCCTGAGCTACCGGCGCCCCCTTCCTGAAGGCAGTCCCAGGCACTGTGGTCCCAGACAGAACATACAATTATGGGGGAGTGCCCCTGCTCTTCCGCTGGTCATGTGAGGGCAGATACGGCCAATGGGGACTGAGCCCAAATGTGAGCTAGAGACAGGCCTCAGGCAGCCTCCATCAGGAGGTCCCGCAGCCACACTCCAACCCAGCCCTGCACCAGACCCCATGCTAAGACACACAGGGACACACACCAGCTCCTCCTGGGATCCAGGCAGCAGGAACCCCATGCTCCCTCCCAGGAAGACTGGCCCGGGGAGGGGAGGGGCTGGGAAGGCTGACTCAAGCGGTGAGATGGTTCACATTCCTCTCTACAAGGGCTTAATTTGGGCAAAAATAGAAAAAATACAGAAGGCTTTTCGAAAGCCACGTGTGCAAGGGGACAAATCAGAAGGGATGACAGCTCACAGAGCCACGCCTGGCATGCACTCTCCCCATGACACAGTCTTCCCAGCCTATCTTAGCTCCTTCCCTGTCTCCCCCGCTAAAGCCCAGGTACTCCCACAGCCCACACTTCTGACTCCGGCAGGGCTGAAGGACCCTGATGCAGGGTCTGTTGCCTTGACCAACTGCTCCCTTGCAGGGACGCACAAGAGACTGTCAGAGCTGTCAAGATAACTTTATTCATAGGAAACTGGGCCAGAGACCCCTCAGGAAGCTGCAAGCCCCTGGGCCCTGGCCCCTTCTGTATTTGGACCCTAGTGAACTGTGCACAGTCTGCCCTCTCCAATGCCAGGGAGAGACAGAGAGGAATGCCATTTTTCTGTGTGATGTGGGAGTGAAAGGGGAATGAGTAGAAATCTGGTTATCCCTCCTGAGACTTGCAGTGAGTTGGGGTGCCAGAGAGCACATGGTCCCAAAGTCAGGTGCAGATGCATCCCCCATCCCAGGGGTAAACTCGTGAGCCCAGCTTTTGGATCAGGTTGGGAGGGAGCCTCATCGGACGATGACAGGCAGAGGTGGCTCTGAGGGTACCTGAGAGATACTAACCCCAAAGCCTACCAGGGCACAGGGGCTCTGGCTGAACACAAAGGTTCAAGATCATCCGAAGGCCCCTGAGTTGCCAAAACACCCAAATAACACTGATATGTTGTGGCCACAAAAGCTGGGGAGGAAATGTGAAGGAGGCAGGAAAAGGACCTACAGATCTCCAACAGAAAAACCACAAGCAGAGAGGGGTAACCCCAGAGGCAGCTGGGTGGGCCCTGGGCAAGCTGGAGGAGAGCCCACAGCAAACAGTCTCAAGGCCCTTGCATAGTGACATACTCACCACCCTCAGCATCGAAGGGACCCACTGGGTAAGGAGAAGCTATGTTATCCTGCCCCCACCCAGATCATAGTCTTCCATCTCAATGTCCTGGATGTATGGCTTGGAGGCTTGGCAGGACAGCCACAGGGGTAGGAGGGATTCAGACCAGGACCCGGAGATGAGCTGTTAATGCTGTCCTAGCGTGAGTGCCTGCATGGAGCGTGGAGGGGTGGGCAGGTAGGGAAGGAGTCTTCAGAGGTAGACATTGAGGGTCTGCAGGATGCCCCGGCGGCACAGCGGGCAGTTGCGGTGGTAGACGGGGTGGCGCATCAAGATTTCAGTGCAGGCCTGGCACAGGCACAGATGCCTGCAGGGCAGGAGCAACACCGTCTTGCTCTGGTCCTGGCAGATGACACACTTCTTCCGCTCCTCTTGCTCCTTCAGCAACTTCCACGGGTCTTGCCCGCCTGGAGGCTCCTCATCGTTGAGCCTCTCTCGGCCCCTGGCAGGTGTCGCTCTGATGGTCCTGGCCTCCTCCTCTTCTGCCTCTGATCTGCGCCCCGCTTCAGGAAAAGTGTCCTGTCTCCGGGTCCTAACTGAGAACACCCTCATAGGGTCACCCTGGGGGGCTCCAGGTGCCCCTCCGCGGTTCGGCCAACTCGCCAGCTGCAGGCTGCGGCTCCAGACTCGGCGCCAGGCCTCTGAGCCCAGTGCTAGGCGAGAGAGCCTCATGACATCCTCTCGAAGACGGTGGTAGGATGGCCGGGCATGGAGCTGGCTGAGTGCCTGGGTAGCCAGTCTCAGGGTCAAGTCCGGATGCAACACAGTCACCGTCACTGCCAGCACGCAAGCCAGCAACACCAGGCCAGTGAGATTGACAAGCACAAAGCTGGCCAGGAGGCGGGCAGCTGAGGCCAGCAGCTCCAGGGCTAGTTGGCAGGGTGTCCAAAGGAGGATGGCCATGGCCACAGCACTGCTGGAAATGTGGGCTAGGAAGGCAGCCACTACATCCGTCATCCTCCACAGAGGCCCGGTCACTGTATCCCACAGGGCCAGCACCAGGGAAAAGAGGTTCTGAGTGCCGATGAGGCAGATGTTGACCAGGCTGTTGATCACATAAGCCACCAGGCTCATGGCAATGGCACAGATGTCACAGGCCTGGCGCAGCAAAGCATGGCCATTGGAGACCACACTGAGGACGCCCCGGTGCAGTATTTCCCTGCTCCGCAGTGCCCCGTGAGAGGCCAGGTGCCCCAGGAGCTTTAGGCTCTCCAGGCCAGAGCAGCAGCTATAGAGCAGGGTACACAAGGCCTGCAAGCCCCCACATGTGAACCGGACCACGGCTTCGATCAAGGCCAGCAATGAAAGCAGGACTCCGCGGCCCAAGTGCAGAAGACTAGTCAGTACCGTGTGCGGCAGGTTGTAGACGAAGGCCAGGAGCCAGGCCAGGGAAGCCAGGAGGGAGGACACCAGCAGGAAGTTGAGGTCCAACACCAAGGTCAGCACGTCCAGCACCAGGCCCACCCCATTCACTACCAGGTACACTGCCTCCATGATAGGGCTATGGAGGTTAGTCCAAAAGAAAGTCTGGCTCCTCGGTTGTGGGGTTGTCTAGGTTGTCAATATTTTAGGGGGTCTGGGATTAATTTGGAAGGAAAATGAGCAGTCTCCAACACAGGCGGTACCAAGAATCTGAGGAAGAAGTGGGTAAGAGGGAAGAGGAGTCTTGGTAGAGGGAAAGGGGGCCAGGTGCCAGTCCAAGAGTCCAGGTTTTGAAGATGGGCTGTTTGGGAGGGAAGAGCCCAAACATCTCCAAAGCGAAGGCGAGCCCAGGCCGTAGGAGCGACCTCAGCTTTGGATGCCTGGTGTGGCGAACCACGGCCGGGCAATGGGTCAGACCGGGAGGAGACGGGGAACAGATGGAATGGGATCGGATTGGATCGGATCGGGTCGGGTCGGGTCGGGCCGGGGCCGGGTGGGGTCGACGCAAGCTGGGCGCGGGCTCGCAGTCCAGCTACGCAGGTGCCCCTGTCCCCGCCCGGCCCCCGTCCTCCCGTTAGCGGCGCTTTGCACCCAAAAGGGGAGTGGGAGAGGCAACCAGCTTCAGCAAACCCCAAGCGCAGCCCCTATTCCGCTGGGCGCCGCCATCTTGTGTGCAAAGGGGTGGAGCCAGAGGGATGACGAGGAGGGAGGGACGACAAACTCCAGCCAATCGGTGAGGGCCAAGCGCAACAACGTCAATCACTCATTGGTCCGTTTGAATGGCGCACGAACGTATTTACTTTCCGAAGGGAAGGAGCGGCGACAGATTAAATCCCCTCCCCCTTGAGGCGGGGATTGGCTCGTTGACGGGCAGCGTCGGAATACGTTCTCCTAGCCCCGCCCTCTAAAAGAGCAAGGCCTTGGACTCCCCTTAATTTGGGAGCTGTTCTTTCTCCCGGCCTCTGAACGCGAGCTGTTTTTTTTGGTTTGAGTCCGAGGTCACTGCCTCTGGGCTGGGCTTTGGAATAGCACCTCCTTCGCAGCCTGTTCAGATCCGTCTCCTCATTCTCCTCTATTTATTCATCTATTCTATCATTTGTTGAGCTCCTACAGTGCATTGAGGATACAAAAAATTTTAAGACAGTGCCTGAGGTTCACAAGGGAAAGCGGATTATTACAGGGGATTCCCAAACTGCTACTCCAAACTTTCCGCACCAGGTTTTTCAACATCTTGGAAGATTACTTCATTGTCATT